GCCTAAGCTCAAACGCTCAAAGGTTTGGTTATACTTTGCGAGAACGGATGACAACAGGGCAACTTGCAATACTTGCAAAGTAGATGCTTTCTCCCTTAAACGAAACACTACGAATATGCAAAAGCATTTGCTCACAAAACCCGCGATGACCTTAAATGAATGTCGTGTTTTTAGCGCGATCTGCCTCATTACAAAACCATTACTGTGCATTTAGGTGACCATGATGAGAGAGACAGACAGAGTCTGGCTCAGATGCTGGCAGTTCTCGCTGCAGTCTACCGGTAGCGTCTCCTTTCAGGCCAGGATAGACGAATGTCACAGAGCAGAGACTAAGTTTGTGGTAAAAGGCTTGAACCCATTTGCCACAGCAGATGCCCCGATTTTCGGTAAGTGAATGTGTTTAATTGTAGGCAGGGACATTACTGGATATTCTTGTGTAATTGCTACAGAATAATTGATGTTATACTTTGTTATTGCCACAGAAGAATATTCATTTTATTATTTTACATTTACTTTTTTTTTTTTCCTGGGGACCCTGTGACACCCCATTGTAGAGCCGTAGGCTGGATCTTTTAAGATCTCACTGTTGGGTTTGTAAGGCCATGTTACTCCTAAATTTCTCTCTTGTTCAAAGAGCAGATATAAAACAAAGTTCTAAGCTAATCGACCTTAGTGTTCTCCTTTTTTAAAAAGAATCGATAAAGAATCGAATCGTTAAACAGAATCGAAAATGGAATCCGAATCGTGAAAATCTTATCAATACCCATCCCTAATCATGACTTGGTTGTGTTCAGCATTAGCTGCTATAATGATTGAGTGAAGTCCACCTTTAGAGAAGCTCTACATACTTCATGAACCCACTGATCTTGCTTCGTAGCACAACACTCGGGTCCCCAGATGCTCTGCGTGGAGCAACTGCCCTGCCCGGGATTTAAAAAAACAAAAAAACAAAAACCTCTTATAGGTTGATTTATAGCAGGAGTGGGGGGGGGAGACTCCAGGCCTCAAGGGCCGGTGTTCTGCAGGTTTTAGATGTGTCCTTGATCCGACACAGCTGATTTAAATGACTAAATTACCTCCTCAACATGTCATGAAGTTATCCAGAGGCCTGGTAATGAACTACTCGTTTGATTCAGGCGTGTTAATCCAGGGTGAGATCTAAAACCTGCAGGACACCGGGCATTGAGGCTGATTTAAAGTATCTCTGCTCTCCATATCATTCTACATTGTCACATCTACCTTGTGATGGATGGAGCCTTTCACAGCTGTTAGCACAGACTGTTTAGGCTACCAGGCGAACTAACATTACCCAGCAGGTTGTTCAGCGGTATATTTTATTAACGTGGAGTTATTAGTTCACAAATATTGTGTGCCATAGGGTTGTCCCAATAGACAATATTGTGGGAGATCTGGGGGGGAAAAATTCAAGCAGAGAGCTAATGTGTTATTTTTAAACTGTGTGTTTAATTTACATTTCCTAACCTCGTGTGGAAAGAGCAAAACGACCGATGACTGCAACAAGATGCAACTGTTTATTCTGTATGATGGAAGGCTTTAAGAGGCCACAAATCCTGGTGCCACCTCCCTCGGAAGATTTTCCAAAACAGTACTAATGGGAAGCATAATCTTTGTGAGGCAAACAAAGATTATGCTTGACTTGAACTCGGATAATGGAAATGTCTGCTTGACACCCACGGTGACCTTCTGCAATTTCAGACACACCCAGATGTACGTTAATGACACTTCACACGTTGCACCGGCTCAGTCAGTGCAGACCACAGAACGAAACTGACTGATCGGTGCGATTCATCTTTAATATACAACGTGTAGAGAACTTGAGATATTTCTCTGTGTTTAAAAAGAAGAAACCACATCTGTTTATACTGTGTTATTTTTTAACTTACAAATATTAAGCAGGAAAGCCACTTAAGACTCAATCCCGAGTTTTAAACCGATGAGGACTTTTAAATTAGTTTTCTAACCCTTTTGTGTAAAAATGAAAACCATGATTATTACATTAGAACATTTCAAAGCATCTGTCATAGAAAAACAGTGTAGTCAGACCCACTCAGTCATTTTACTAAAAAAAAAAAACATGTTACCTAAAGACAGGACTCAAACTTTGATGTGTCTGGCCTTCACGCTTCAACGAGAAATAAAATGTCACAGCTATGATCAATAGGACTGCTACAGGCCCATGAAAAGTGAGAAACAAAAACAGGTCATGGTTATTTAGTTACAAGAGTTGCCTTTTTCTTTGCCTCCCGATTCTTTATTGAACAGTCATCTATTATATGCAATCAGTGTGGGAAATCAGCTGCAGTGGAAAGCAGGCTGTGGCAGCTATGATGCCATTTTGGCTGGTTTGAGATACCCCCACCCCCACCCCCCAATGTAGTTTAATGTAGGCAGGCTGTTGCTGGAGAAACTTAAACTTTCTCTGGCTGATTTACCATGAAATACATCCATAGAGATAAATAAATGTGACAGGTAATCCAAAGTCCAGAAATAAAAACTGAATATTCCAAGATTTAAAATTAAATTATATTTATTTCCATTGTTACATACGAAAAAGAGGTTTTTGTTTTTTAGATTTCGATACTTTGAGAATTTATGTTATGGTACAGCCCCAAAGCCATCCCCACAAAAGATAATTCACTGTGACAACTCATGTGACATTATGAAAATGCGACATGAATACTGACCTTTAGAGTATCTTTACTGCTACGCCTATTATAGAACAACTCTAAAGTAGTGCACAGCAGCACTTTAATATAAAATACAGATTGTATAGTATTTATATTCAGGTAAAATCTATTATGATGTCATTGGTTTCTAAGGGCATAGAAACTATTACAGGCTGTCTGCGGCAATGCAGAGGTTTTTCACTTATTCCAACACAAACTATAAGGATTGTGATCTGGACATCACATATAAAATCCTACAATTAAAAATTATAAACATGGCTTTGTGTACAAAACCATGATATGGGATTACAACATAAATGGCATAAAGATAAATTAGGCTAAAATGCATCCTGCTATAAAGACACTTGGAACATCTTACCAAGAAACAGTTCCCACACTAGTGTCTGTCATCTGACATACATTATAACCTTATATATGAAAAATAAATTCAAACGGGACCTGGATGAAGAAATCCCAGAAGAGATCTGATACCACATCAACAACACAATCACTGAAATTGAGGGAATTTAGTTGGAAGAACCAGATTGTTAACTTTAATGCTCCAAATTACAAGCAAACAGACAAACACTAAACAGCCATGCTGGAAATTATGAAAATGTGGTCATGTGGAACCAAACCACACTCACATTTGGGAAAATAAAACTGGGATTCATTCAGCTCTAGGTAAGCTTGGTGAAAGACTCGGTGAAATATATGATTCCAAGATCATTTCAGATCCTATACTCGAGTTGTCTTAAGGGACGTATATCCTAAGGACATATCTGACACCAGCAAAGAAAATTATCACCAAACACTGACTAAGGATTGAAACACCAAGCTACAGAATGAGGTGTTTGCTGTTGAGGAGATTCTGTTGATGTGAAAGCTCAGACAGGAAAAAAAAAAGAATACTTTCTCCAAGACTGGGACAAAGGGTTGTCATACAAAGTAAAGAAAGGACTTAAAATAAAGGATTTTGAATAAATTGCTTAGAGGCAGACTTGCACTGGCCTGGGACTGTTCAAATGTACATGAACTTGATTTTTTGTGTTTGTTTTTGGCTAATTTTTAATTTCAGCATTTGTGTAGGTGCTTTACATGGATAAACAAGGCAAATGAAATAAAAGCTACAAAAAAAGATAAATATAGCCTGAAGAAAAGTGATCTTACATCATCAAAAATAATTTTATTAATTAAATGCTGTCAAAGCTGTAAAGGCTCCATTATTGAATCCAAAACCTCCACACAGAATCAAACTATTGTGATTTCCAAGTCTGAGCCAGTTTGTAGATCAGATGTAAGGGTCCAATCATTAGGCTTGTTCATGCAGTAATTAACTGTTATTTACACATAAAAATCAGCATAAAAGAGTTAATAGAACAAAAAACTTAATAAATAAATTTTAAAAAGTTTTATGACTTATGACACTGTTTAAAGGACAAAATAATTTCTCTCTCCAGCTGGTAAGGCTCTGCTCAAATCTATGTTTACCCCACAATCTATTATTTTCACATTTAAACATCTGTTTTACAAAGACTCACTCAAATATATAATCATACGAAGAATATGCATTTACAGCCCTAATGTATTTGCTTTAGTACTGTGCCCTCGTTAAGACATTTTTGTTGAATATTAATGAAAAGCTGCTGTGTATCCTTAACACAGACATCAAACTTTGTCTGAAAACCAGTGTGAAAATGTCCCTGATGCAACCAAAAACTGTGCGCCATGTTTTCCATCAGTCAAATGGATTATTTTAATGAACTGGAAACAACATAAACCAAATTGTTTCTGTACGGTTCATTCGTGTAACAACTTTATTGACTTAGAGGAACAGGAACACGGGCCAGGTCAGCGTGTTACTGTGTACCCCTCCTTCTCCTTCTACTCTAAGCTCCACCTCAGTTTCTTTCTTGTTTTTAAAAATCTTTCATTGTAGTCACCGTCTACAGCGCTGCTCAAGTTGCTGCCAAGAACTGATCCAAGTTTGCTTACATTTGCATGTAAATTTCTGCGCTCAACAATAGTGACTGCTGAAAGTCAGCAATCACGCCTTTGTAGGGCCAAAGATCCAAAGAAATATGCCTGGCTCTTCAGCTAAAGGGTATCCAGACCAAAAACAGGATCAGTTCCAACCTTTTTTGTTCAGTTTAAGTGCAGCTACAACTCCCTGAATGACTGTGTTTGCATACAAGCTCAACACATGCTGGAACAGTATTGAACTACAACAAACCGAGCAGGTGGCTCCAGTAAAAACAGCACAGTGGTGTAAAGCTCAACTGAAAAACACGAGTGTTTGCGCGTTACACTCACCAAATGAGAGTTCTCTTTTGCCTCTTGTACTTGCTGCACCTGTGGTTCAGCTACAACTTTCGTGTCCTGGTCAGAAGTCATGAGCCGTCTGCTTCTTGGCTCCTCAGGGAGAAGTCTCTGTGTCACCAAGTAAGCTACAGGGGGGCAGAAGGGACAAACAAGTCTGAGTCAACAACGGATGTTTATCAGCATATCATCAGCTGGTACATGTGTAAGACAAAGGAGTCAGGAGGTAGTGTCTGACAGTTGCGTTATTAAATCTGATTTTTCACACAAATTGTTTTTAATGCTTGTATATGGACAGAATAACAATCAGTGCATGTGTGGATATTTTCCTCGCACAGACTTAATTTACACTAATTTAAACTACCAACACGTTGCTGTTTCTCTTAAAATTGTAATGGCAAAACTGACAATATGCTGTTGTTCAAACCATTTCAATCTGTGCTTAATGACATGTACGGAGGCCACTATTCTAATTTCAGACACTTCAGACAGTCGTGATGACAAAATGTGAAAAATCAAACGTCAGCTTGTTCTGACACATTGAAAGTATGTCACACCAATGTACAAGAAAAGCTATCAATTAGCAATAATACAAATACAGTAACACAAAAAGCTCTGAAACTCATAACAGAAACAACCGGCGAATTAGACCCATCTACTTTATAGGCCTCGATTACACAACGTGGCTTTGATTCATATTTAGCAGCTGTTTGTTTAGTCGACAGTTTGGCCATGTTTTGGCCATTTTTGCATTAAACGATGCAGGCTTTAATATTTAGCCAGTTATTTAAATAAAATGTGTAATTGTTCTTTTGTGCTGTTGTTTTTATTGAACGGTTGCATTTGTCAAGGTCAAATTTTGTATTTTATATTCCCATTCAATAAAGGATTTTCCATTTCCTGCTGCCTGTGGATACTGACATTTACTGATGACAGTGCTGATGTTTATCTCGTGCTTTTATGGGTTTACCAGCACTCATGCTTGTAGGACTGAATTTTAACATTATGGTTTTTTCTCACTTTTAAAAATAAAATAAAATTAAAAAAAAAAAATGTACGTGTGTGATGGTGCATCCCAGCATAGAACAATCATGCAGTTATGTTGAAAACAACAGGTGCATCCATAGAAAGTAAACAGTTTTCTATCTTTAACACCTGCTACATTTGCTGCTTGTGGGGCACACAAAAAAAGTGAACTTTTAACCTCTTTTGACAATTTTTATTAGGGGTATTTTTTTAAAAAGGATACATAGTAGCATTGCAATATTTTGTTATGGTGGTATTGTATCTATACAGAGACACCAAAAATCTGTATTGTAATGAAACACAATAATCTGGGCCAATCAAATAAAGAAACAAAGAAAGAAAGAAATCATTGTATTGAATTTTTTCACATTCTGCAACAGATTAAGACTCGTGGTAACAAAATGTTTGCCCAGAGCTTGATGCTGTTGCACTCTCATGACCACTTATGATGGCAGGGCGATTGCACAGATTTCCAGATAGGAGGCAATCTTAATACCAACAAACTGTCAAAGTTGCAACTTTGACAGACTGCAGTAACTCAGAAAAATTGTTGGAAGCTTTCAAATAATTGCTAATTCATAAATGAGACAGATTGCCAACAAGTTGCCATGAGTCTAAATGAGTCTTTGTCAATGACCAGGATTCGAGGGGACTCAACACAACAGGCTGCCAGCTAGTTGTATTCTGGTTTATATGCCTATAGAACAGCAAGGTTGCAGAGTGGAAATGTATTAATTAAATGTGAATTTCTGTCTATGTAGAGAGCAGCAGATATGTGCTTGTCAATGGTTTATCACAGTTAATTGCCTACTTGACCCCATTCAATAGCAGACACAGCACACAGACTTTGTCTGGCAGCATTTATGGCAGGTTGTCGTAACAGTCGAATTTTTGCAGCAAAAAAAAAAAAAAAGAAGAAGAAGAAAGAAAAGAAAAGAAAACAGCTTAAGTGTGATAACTTTATCTTATAGGATAAAACAGATACTGGCTAAGTTAAACTTTGAGGACATCACTGAAAAAAATTAGTTAAAAGAATGTGATCGGGGGTTTTTTCAAATGTGTTGAAAGAATGCAGCTGACAAAATGTGAAAAAGTAGAGTATGTGTTATTGCAATACTCATCGCAAAATATTTTTAAAAATTTAAATTGTCATATCATGAGTGAAGTATTCTGATAAGACTGTATCGTAGAAGGTGGCAATGATCATCATATTCCACATATGTGGCTAAAAACTGCAGTCTGTATCAGTTAGCAGCATGTGAGTGATTAGAAATGATTAATGCTAATGTTGTAATCTGCTGTCTCAACAGAAAGGTTGATAATAAACCAACAATAAGACTGACACAGATCATGTGTGTAATTTCTGGTTGATCTTCAGCCTCATTTCTCTGAGGCGGTGAAAGCAGGCGCATTAAAACAAAAATGTTTTTCTTCAGTTAACAGGAGCAGCACTCGTCATTGGTTGGATTATTACCTGCCGTGATTGTGACAGTCTTTTCTGGACCGACTGCTCAACAAACGTGAAGAAAATAATCTTTTCAGCTGCTCTCATCCACTGCTCTCTCGTTTCACACAGCAATAAAGCAAACGCACAAAGATAAGTCAAAATAAAAGCTGTCCGTTTAGTTTGCCGCTATGTTTTTAAAATCTAAATGTGTAAGACAATATTTGTTATTAAAGCTTTAAAATAACTGTAATAGCAGGTAAGTCTGCTAGAGAGATTGGATAGCTTCTATAAACCTGAAGTTTACCAAATTTACAGCTCGCAGCAGACTAAACAAACAGCTTTTCCTTAAAGCCAAAAATGTCACTTTTCTTCAGGCGGTCTAATGAAGGACTCTTATGGGCTTTAACAACTGCCCCTGTCAGTGCTACAACGCTCCATCCTTCTGGCTAAATATTTGAACATACACTCCTAAATACTTTTTATTGTCCTCGTGCATCTATTTTTAGCCACAAATGCGAGCAAAACACTTACATCATCAAGCCCTGCCTCCCTGAATTCTTTTCCACGTAAAAAGGACGCTTAGCTGCACTTTTTGCTTTCTGTTTATACACGAGTCAAACGTCATGAGGTTTTGTAGGTCAAGTTCTCGACATCACTCTGTCATCCCCAAGGCCCGATTGGATGATCACTTCCACAACATTTGACCTCAGTGTAACGGGGGGGGGACAAAACAAAACACCACTGGAAACACCTTCTTTTCTGTCCTGCTTGTAAAGCGGTGATAATCCGCCCAACAATCGGGCGCCTGTCCCTGACACGGGCCCTCGCTGTGTTCGCATACAAAGCAGAAAAAGAATGGTGTGGCTGTAAAGCCGGTGACCTTTGATCCACATAATGACACAGTGTCACTGCTGCTGTGATGAATGGGGCATAGCACAAGCCTCCATCAACTCACATCAATAATTGAAGCATCTGTTTGCGTGATAAACTTTGCACCTAACATTGTAAAAACGGTTTGACAACTGAAACCTGCACACAACCCGAGTGTGTAACTAGCTGACAAGTCATGCAAAATCTATTATTTTATTATTTTTGGACTAAATAGGAAGCCAGTACCCAACGATTGGGTGTGGGGGTTCTGGGTTTTCATGTCACCTTGTGTGCTTCAGTACCAAATTCTCTGTGATGTATTTTTCTGTTTCTGCTGTCACACATTTAAAGGACTGACATACTGACACAACAAAGTCTTGGCAGCCTTTTTTCCGAACTACTGCTCTTTAATGCTGACGTTCTGATTTGAACTTCTACCTCTGATAAAAATCACCACGCACATAAATAAATAAAAAAAAACCCTGGTGCTGTGATTAAAGCCAGAAAGTCTCATTCTTGTCTATGTCAGCTGCCCTTCGGTCAACTGCCTGTTCCAATTGAGGCTGAACCACGCTCACCTCAGAGAGCTCTTCCAGAAAGGGTCGTGGTCTGAAACGGTTTCTGCAGATTTAAAACTACAGACACCGTAAGAGCTTATTTGGTAAACAGCTTAAGGAAGGGAAAAAAAAAGAAAAGAAAAATGGTGTTAGTCTGTCCCTAAAACACCCTAACAGCCATTTTTGTTGGCAGAGCCCATGTTACATGAATTGCAGGAAGCTTTTGGGGTACAGATGGGGGCGAAGACTGCAACAGGCAACGCTGAACTGATGTTCTGCACTGCACCTACGAGGCAAGCGGCACAGAGCTGAAAGCAGACCATGTGAAAGCCTGTGAGCACTCTGGAGATAAAAGAAGCTGAAGGCAAACACTAATAATCCTTCCACAGGTTCACTTACAGAAACCTCAGTAGTTTTTCTTCCTCTAGAGAGATCTTACCGAGCTAAAGCTCTCCTTTAATCATCCTGACTCGAGCTGATCAGGCTTTGCTTTTGTGGAGGACCAAATGCTTCCTGCTGGAGCAAAAATAGTCATCGTTTGATCCGCACTGTGTCGTTTTCATGATTGCTGGCCACCAAATTTATAAACAAATTTTAAATTCAATACTTTTGTGCAGAAACTTGAAATCATATTATGAACCTGTTAGATCTACATCTACTTGATATATAAGCTGACCCATAGCACAACAAATGACATAGCTACCAGGCTGTGATATCAGCTAAAATACTCTTCGTTTAGCCCAAAGGTTGGGCAATGCTTGTGTTAGAGTAGTGAGAACAACCTTTTCACTCTGGTCAGAAACTATCGCACACCATGAAGCTGAAAGCATGCAAACTTGGATCACTAGCCACAAATGTAAATATGAATCAACTGAAAGAACCACTCAGAGGAAACGGAGAACTTGTGAAAATGACAGTTGTTGTGACATTAATGTAAACTATTTTAAACTACTTCAGGAACCTCACACTGGTAATACTAATGTTACTGAGGTAAAGCATCAGTCCAATTGATTCAGCTAAAACATTTAACATGTTCTGCCTTGTTTGTGTAAGAGTAAATACACAGAAAGGTTGGACAGCTTTTGTCCTAAAATAGACTGTGTGAACTGTGCTGCTCTCAAAAACAGTAAAGATGACGATTTTGCGTCCTGCGCTGGGAGCTGTTGTTCATCAAATGTCATCTAAATATTAACCAAGTTGAGTTTTTCTTAATTCTGTTTTTGCTATCACGCACAGTAACTCACTGATTGCTCATCAATTTGAATTACTCATTATTTCAAAAGCATATAAATCCCTCCTGTGGCAAGTAGTTAAGAAGAGAACTCACACCTCCCCACACCCACACCATTTTAAAATTAAATTAAATCCAGATAAAAAAAAAAAAATCAGAAGTTTATTTTAAAATATAATTAAAGAAGCTCATTTCTCTCCAATTCAGCAACAATTACATTTTTTAGCTTTAAGCAGCCAGCAGGAATACATCTCATGCCCACAGCGTTGTAATTTTAACCTGAGACAACACCTTCAACCAACACACAAACTGCCTTTTAGAGAAAACACCTGCACTCTGAGAGTGAGCCAAGTGTGATATTTACTTTATGCAGGATAAACTCCAGACCAGAGACGTTTCCCTTTGGTCGCTCTACAGGTCGTCACTGAAATATTATCAGTCTGTCAAAACATTTAACATGGATAATTGTGAGAAGCCAAAACTGTAAGTGAAATGTAATTTTCATTAATCACACAGCAATAAGGCAGCCTAACCTGGTAGTGTGTAGTACTGTGGTTTAAAGTAACAGCTTATAAATATTAAGTCAAATTGAACTTGGATAAACACACAGGCTGGCTCATAACTGCCTGCTCAAAAAGAAACAACTTAAGACAAATTCTTTTCTTGCTTATTTCACCCTCACTGTACCTGAACTTAGAGAGCCCCCCCAGCCAATCCCACTCTAACTCCAACTATACCTGTACTTACAAAAGGCATAACAAAATGCCCAGATCTCTTTATTTTATCTGGCTTAACTACACCAAACATCAACAATTAGGCCAACCGATTACACAAAGGCCAACTTAATCAACTTAATCTAATTAACACTGGCAGCATCTGACCAATCACAATCATAAGTGTGCTGAGAGCAAAATTGACCGACTCAGATAAAATTATAATTTTAGAAAATACGAAGATAATACAGCCTGACCACGTCAAAGCTCTATTATTAAAGATGGAAAGGGGTGGGGGGGTGGGGGGGTGTTTGATGTGTGCAAAAAAGTTTCAGGTTTTTACTTTTTACTTTCAGATGGAGCCTGAACATTAAACAATAAAATAAAATAAACAGTTTGTGAAGAAATAAAGACCAAAAATTAAAAACAGGATTCATATTGGTTAGTGTGTAGGATTTTTGCTGGCATAGAGTGGACCTTTAATGCGCACCTATGCATAAGCACGACTGGTATGCATATAACTGTAGCGAAAACACATTTATAGCAAATTTCAACTCTTGCTGCCCTCTCAAAGAGCTTTAGACTACAAGGCCACATTTAATCTACCTCACATCCACGGCCAATTTACAATCACCATTTAACATAAGCAGTCCTTGGACTGTGGGAGGAACATGGAGAGGACCCACATACACAGGAATAACAAGCAAACTCCACACAGAAAGGCCAGAGCCACGGTTAGAATTAGGAAATTACTTAATGTGACGCCTCAAAGTGCCAGAATACTCTCAGCATTGGTCACCATAACATCATAACGTCACTTCTATTTATGCTAGCTGCTGTTGTTTCTGTGGATTTCACAAACAAAAAGTTAAGTTTCAGTAAATTAAACCCTACTTAAAAATACTGGTTTACCATCCTTTAAAAAAATAAAATAAAACAGTACTGGTGATGGTGCTTGGTTGGTGGACACATACTTTCAAATTTCCTAACAAAACAAATTGTTTTAAAATAGTTTTAAACAGGAATAAATGTGTTCCTCAAGTCTCTATGAGTGATGCTCATCAAATGAAGAAGAGAACTTTAGAGTATGTCCAGGGTAAGATTAATCAATTCCCATAATTCTAAGACATGATACTGCCACAGAGAGATAAAGCTGTCTAATCGAGCTCAGCCCTGCATCTGCACTGGTGCACAGCCACAGGACAGCGGCAGCACTGCAGAGGTGGACCCACATCCGACCTACACAACACCTTTACAGTCTACAGTGGAACTTGAGTGGAACTCTGGTTTACCTGCTGCAGCAGCTTCTCTTTTCTGCTTTTTCCCCCAAAATTCAGAGGGCGCATTAACTTTTCATTCATATCCATGTTTTGTGTACTTTAAATATTCTTCTTGTGTCTCCCATGGTTAAAGAGGACTAACAGCAGTAGAATAATATTTTTGTTCAGTGCAACTTCTACTATGGTAGAGGTTGCACTGAATGAGCAACTTAATATAAGAATAAGCTCCAAATCTTATATCTATCATAAGAACTGCATGGTTAGAGGTTCAGCAGTTATCACCTTTAGCCACTAGTTATTTTCATCTTGCTGTTATTATAACTGCAGTGAGGAGACCAGCTATAGTGGTATTTGTAGTAAGTACTTTTAGAGACACAAAAACCTCACCTGTGTGTATTCATTGTGTCACTCTTTCAGAGAATAAATGTGCAGATGTTTAGTCATGTAGAAACAATCCTTCCTGCCCGAGGTCAGAGCAATCACAGCAGCACCACTTTCTAAAGAGCTGACTGATAAATTGATAGTTATTTCGTACCTGTTGAGCATTCTTATTTTGAACTTAAGCTGCTGTGGAGCAAGCGATGTATCGCCTTAACAACAAAAATACCTACATAACCCCAAAGACCCAGAGTTACACCTGAAGTTATCTTGCTCAAGTCCAAATTCTGCTTCCTAGTACAGACCTCAGAGCACACAATACAGACAATGTTAAACAACTTATTTCAAAGTTATTCCAAAGGAAAACGACAATACTGATAATAAACATTTTAATAAGCAATGTTTTTAAAGGGTGGGTTAATTTACTTAACCTTGAGTACATATTTTGTGAACAAATCCACAAAAACACCAGAAAACAAGAGATGTCTGTTAAGTAATTAGATGCAGACCAACCGCTTTTCTCATAACAAAAAATGCCCATTGTGAGTCCAGAAACCCCGCTACCACTACACCTGAGGCTGCCCCCCGAATCCCCACTTTAACCCCTCAATACAACCCTTCAACAAACAGTGATCCTTATCAAACCACATCCCATTTCCTCTACAGATGCAGTGACTCAATCATGAGGTTTAGACAGGGCCTGAACCAAAACAAGCTCTGCTCACTCCTCCCCTGTCGTGTTTCCACCCTGCTCAATCACTTCAGGTGATTTATGACCCCCAGCCGGTGCTCTAAAACAAGGCCGAGGTTCAACTCTACCGGTGAAAAATGCAAGGGTGGTCCACAGGACTGTATTTATAGTCGGTTGCTTACCGCTGGTGGAGGATGGTCGCAAGACATCTTGGATGTCTGTAAACGCTGCTAATCAGCGTGTACCTCCGTCCATCCACACACACTCGAGAAGCATTTGTTTGGATCAACTTGACAAGTCAAAAAACATAACAACTTCCAGTGGAGACGCAATGCAGGCGCGTTTAGCAGCTGACAGCCGGCAGTGACTGCAGCTCACATGCCAGGGGCCAAACTCAGCGACACTCCTTTAATAATTGCGCCGTGATGAGGACGAAGTGCGGCCTGAGCGTGGCTAAAGAAAAAACACAGCTACTGTAGCCACGACGCCTGTGTAGTAAAGTTGAGCCGACTGCAAAGTAGCAGCCATGTCTTGTTAGCTGGTTTTGCAGCAGCATCCAATGAAAGATGGCGACCTCAGGCGTGAATTCGCGGATTCCCCAACCCCCAACCGATTTGAATCAGTTAGTTAGCAAGAGAGCTAACTTGCCCCTGACCGTGTGTTTACCACCCCTCTCCCCTTAATGACAGAGAACAGCTTCTTACTCACCTGTCAACTCTCACTATACGGCTCTGCAAACACTGTGGTAGCTGCTGCTGGAGGTGGTGCTGGACTGAGGCCTCGAACTGGCTTCCAGGCTAAATGCGCAGGGTGTTAGCTAGCGAGCTAGCAAGCTGTATCGAGCACGCTAGCTGCGAACAACCGGCTCAAACTTCACCAGCAAACAGTCTTCAGGTGTCAGGGGACCCACCCACAGCCAGTTACAGCGCAATGACAAAAACACTCCAACACTGACACGGGGAAGGGGGGGAAAAGAAAGGAAAACGAGGTCCCCCTTAACAACACTGCAAGCTAGTTAGCAAGTTAGCTAGGTGGCTAGCTAGCTAGCTTGCCTGCCTATCAAGTTTGTGCAGTCGATGAAAACTGGCGTCTGGAAGCAAAATCCCTCACGGTCAACAGCAGGCTCTGAGGGAGGGAGGCCAGTCCAGAAACAATCAGGGGAAGCCTAAAAAGTGAGAAATAAACGTGACTCGTCTTCCAGCTTCCGATCGATCAAACATTCGCTCCTGCTAAAGATGAGAGAGAGAAGAGGGGGGTTTGGAATGGAGAAGTCGGCGTTTCCTTTCCTTTTCGTGTGCAGCGCAAAGATCGTCTATAGCGCAGATTTACCGGACATCTCAGCGGCTCCGAAAAACTTTTTTTAAGTGTCCACCAAAGACCAGAGCTTCATTATAAATATTTTAATTAATAAAGCCCAATAATATCAGATAGCTTCAAACGTATTCACATATTTAAAAATGGGGCCACTTACATCTTAAACCAGGCTTTTAATCAAACAAGCAACCTATCAGAAATACACACACATACACACAAATAATCATAAGTAAAAATAAATCAGCAAAACATAATCAAGGAATATATATATATATATATATATATATATATATATATATATATATATATATATATATATATATATATATATATATGAAACAATTTTGATACTAATCAGGAAGGCATGCAAATGGTTTTTATCTGCTAGATTACCAAACGTGGCTGTGCACTGCTATTCTTAATTTCAATATTTGGTAAAAGGACTAGTAAATAAAAACGTGTTCTTGAAATTATCTGTAGCATTTGCTTCCCTAATATTTTAATCTTCCACAGTTTGGGGACTTTAACTGTGAAAGCTGATAGCTCAAAGTTCGATATCTAAGATCTAAGAGGGTGAGTCAGTTTGTGACAGACTTTCGTAAATATAAGAAGGTCCAAGACAAATGAGGATTTTCTATTCGGGTAAGAGTATTTTAAAGGCGGCTTATATTGTTTACCTCATATCAATAGACTAACGCTACATGTTAAATAGGTTTATTGTGTTATGTTTCTGTATAATAGGTAGAAAGACACATCTTATAGTTTGAGGTGGTGCAAAGAATTTTTATATATACACAACAGTGATTACAAATTAAGAAGACAGAACTGAAGCTAAGTTAAAAAATATAAAATTCAGACTCAGATTGTGCGAAAGAGTACTTCAAATGGCATTAATTAATAATATATGCAGTATAAATCAAAGAAGGTATGTGGACTCTGCTGTCATGACAGGTGTGCTCACCTGACACAGAAAAACAGACCCGTTATGCAGTTTAACAGAGAGCAGTAGGAATGATTTCCTGAAGCGTTCTTCATTCAGTGAGGTTGAACACGTCTGAGGAAGAATGTGCTCTGCTGCCTCTGCAGTGTGGAGCGGAGCAGGTGTGATGGGGCATGGTGGAGAGCAGTTTGTTCAGTGACCTCCTGTTTCTCACTGACTCAGACGCCTCCAGATTCTGGCCAGTGATCCTGTGGAGCCTGCTGCCATCTCTGGCACCGATGCTGTCCACCCAGCAGTCAACTGCAAAGTAAACAGCGCCCTTGCCGCACACTGAGCTTCCTCCGAAAGCAGAGTCTGCTCATTCCCTGCTCATATACAGCACCAATGTTGGTCCTCCAGCCCAGTCTGCCATTCAAGTGAACACCTGTAGCTCTCCTCTGGAAGCCAACCAACTCTTTTTTGTCTTGCTGACATTCAGGAGGTTTTTTCCCTGCACTCCAATTCCAGCCAGCCCTTAATACACCCACCCACTGCAGCGTCATCAGAGCACTTCTTTTCCCAACAGTGAAAAGTAAACAGGAATGGAGACAGGACAGTCAGCTGTGGTGCCCCAGTACTGATAAGCACCACATCAGACATGGCTCCCCCGCCATACAAACCAACAGACAGCCACGAGACCGTGGAAGTGACACCCATCCTGAGCAGGTATTAAACTTACTGAAAAACATGACTCTCACAATGCCACCAAGGTATATCCACTCCTGTGTGGGCTACTGGTTATTTTCTAAATATAATCTTTTTGACTTAAAAAGACAAACAAGACAACTTTTTAAAATAACTGCTGACAAATGAATTTGTTACAGCAGGTGAGAATGAAGTAAAACACAACAAATATATAGGAAATAAGTATAACAGCTTATGAGTCAGTAAAATAAGAATATAGCGTGACAAAACTATTATGAAGAGAAGTAAAAAAAATTAATTTGAAATCATAATAAATGCGAGACATGAAAATTTAAAAAACCATAACAAATGAACAAATCTAAATACTAATCTTTAAGTGACAATAAATAGATAGGAATATTTAAATGGTAACAAATAGATAGATAAACAAACAAACAAACAAACAAACAAACAAACAAACAAATAAATAAATAAATAAATAAATGTGCAAAAGTTTCAAGTCACACCTCATTTATTTGTTTTGCTTCAAATGGGACAGATTATTTGTGGGTTTTTTGGGTTTTTATTGCTGACACTGGCTGCTTTTTCACTCATTTTCAGTCCAGTCCTTGTACCTCACCATGTTCACAGGAATGTTTGTTAAGCAGCTTTACACTGACCTATGGATGAAAAAACCACATAACTTACGGGATGAACCTGTGTTGTGTCCACACATAACAGACAACCAAGTGAAGAAATTTTCAGATTCTATCTTCTGGCTCTTTGTTACTAATAGCCTGTCAAAAAAAACACATTTATTCCCACTCCCACAATGGTTTGACAGGAATATACGTTACTTTTTGCAACAACAAGGGGATTCCCAAAGAGCTATTAGCTGACACCATGGCATACCTAAGCATCATGTGCAGTGTGTCCTTAACAAATCGGAGTGACCTGTACAAGTGACAGGCCTAAAAACTGTCATGAAATCCAGCAAAGACCTGACACAGGACCTGAGAGGTGAATCCTGGACCTTCGGATAATTCATCTGCTGTTTACTGAAGCCTCATCAGAAATACTCTCAGCTGAAGGGTGGCTGTCAAGAAGCCATTCTTAAGCAAAGGAAACAGGGAGAAAAGGCTGAGGTGTTCCAGGTTACACAAGAACTGGACTAAAAATCAGTCAGTATCTGTCTATAAAACTGTCTGGAAGCTCTGTCATAGTGTAGTAAGTATTGTTGGGGATCTTATCAATGCTGATGAAATAGTGCCATCAGATTTTGACCCCCTCATGCTACATCATCTTGAAAATATCTGACTGGAAAGGCAGTGATCCCAAATAGACTGCCAGTGCAGTAAAATCATACCTGGATAGAAAACAGTGGAACACCATCAGTCATGGATTGGCCTCCCCAGAGCCTGAATCTTAGTATTACAGAAGCATTGTTGGATCATCCTGACAGAGAACAGAACAAAAGACAGCAAACATCCAAAGAAGAGCTTTGAATGTCCTTCAAGAAACCTGGAGAACTACTTCTGAAGACTAACAGAGTTGAGGCTGTGTTAAATAATAAAAGTGATCGTACCAAATATTGACCTTCAAGCTCTAAAGAATTGTACAAACTCTGTTTTTACCTTATATTCCATATTTCCACGTGAGCTGCCGTGTTTCAGTAAAATGTTGCACCTATTTTGCATTTTTAAGCAAAATATAAAGAAAGACTTTCTCACAAGGCTATATTTCATCATCAGTGCAGGAGGAAAGCTGACACTGAGGGAAAATTCTTTAAAGTGCTAAGGAAAAAATGTTGTCCTGTTTTGACTTTTTCTGTTCTGGTGCTGAGTTAGCGGATACCGAGCTTGCGCTAAAGTCTCAGTTCTCACTGAGGACGGAGGAGCAGAGCCAGAGGATCGAGGCGGATGTAAACACGAGCCGCTCTCCGTCAGCGGAGTGATACCTCTTCGCGTGTTTTTCTATCTCTGCGCCTAGAGCTGTCACACAGGGCTCCAGCCCCCGCCCCTCCTCCCCCCTCCTTTTACTCTTCCTCGCTCGCGCTCGCAGCAGGTCGTCCTGATTGGTCCACACTGCCCGTGGGTGCACGCGGATCCACTCGTGATCAGGGAGAGTGGGCGGGATCACGGGCTATTCTTGTCCGCTGATTGGCTGCTTGTCGCTCCGCGCGGATCACAACAAGAATGTTTTTCAAACTAGAGTCAATGCTGTCAAAGCAGCAAGCACACACACACACACACACACACACACACACACACACACGTACATATATATATGTGAATGATAAATAATTATTATTAATTATTAAATATTGTTTTATTAAAATGTCACCAACTCCAAGTTACAGCGCTATAAAAAGTTTTCTGTTTATTATTAAATAATACAAATAACAAAACCTTAAATTAAAATGAAAATTAGACACTTTCTGGCAACTTGAAGTGTTAATAATAGCCAAATTTTATCCAATTCAACGAATAATTAATAAATAAATCCAAAGAAACAAAGAAGTTGTAATAATAATAAAAATGAAAAAATAAGACAATTAATTAAAGCCTAATTAAATACATAGCAAAAAATATTTTAAAAAGTAGATTGCCATGACAAAACAAATATCTCAGTCAGATAAAAGGTAATCTGAAATAATAAAAATGACAATACAAAGAAAATACTATGAATTCAAATAATAAAAAATACAAATATTTCAGACTAAGCAAAACAAAATAAAACGGAATTTAGTAAAAGAACCCCCCCCCCCCCCCCCACACACACACACACACACATATATGTCATTAACTGCATCACTGACATAAAATGTATCAATGCCATAAAAAATTAGATCAGTTGATAAAATAGGTCACTGTAATTTTTCGGACGTAATGAGCAAACAGCAAACAAACCTAATGAGATTCCCATATTAATACCTACCTACCTAGTCCCAAAGTTACTTTCAGACCTGTTTTTACAGACAGGAAATAAATAAAAACTCAACTCTGCTTCCTTTGTGTAGGACATACGGTGGAATCAGTGGGTGTAAATCAATCTCAATATATGATTTTTTGTTTAATAATAATTTAGAAAATCTGAAAAAAATTCTTTCATTTTTAATATTCTAAAGAAAACCCTGCTTACGTAAACAGCAACACTAAATGAATGAATAAATTTCTTTATTATCACTTTAAAAACTACATTGTGAAGTAATAATATGCATGTAAATAAATACACTCACATATAAATGAATAGTACTTAAATATGCATGTGTACATTTAAGTTGTTTTTATGTATCTCATACTCACACAGATAGATAAGATAAAATGTTATTGAAAAAAGCTGTTAAGCTTTTGTGTCTCTTGAATAAATCTAAATGATTCAATACAACCAGTATTTTTGTTTTTGATGATTTGGATTTCTTGTGGTTGTGTCTATTTTTGTTGTGTCTGTGTCCGGACGCCAGGGGGCGGTGTCCAAAAAACACACACACAAACTGTTTTCTGAGTCTTTTCCGGCTGTAGCGGAACTCCGGGCTTTCTTTCCCTGTGCCGTCAGCGGACTACAACGTGTCCCGACAAAATGGCACTTTATAATTTCAAGAAGATTATGGTGGTTCCCACCGCCAAGGTAAGTTTTACCTTTTGTTAACATCGCGTTTTAAAGCGGCTGAGGTTCGGTGCGGCTCGCTGTGGGAGATGGCAGGAGATAATAGATGGTGGAAAAGAAAACACGTGCCGTACTGGGCTGAAGAGAGACCAGCATGTTTAAGAAAAGCAGACTTCAGGCAGAAAACTGCTACACTGAGTCTGACATGTCGTTATATGTGAATAAACAGCCAGTAAAAGTCTGTGTTAGCCGGTGGTAGCTCTGATTTTCGCTTTCAGAACTGCATTCACAAATCTGGAGGTTTACGTATGTGTTTTCTTACCTCTGTATAAGTTTAAGGCTGTTTGTTTCATAGGTTTCTGTTTCCTGTGAGCAGAGACACTGTTGCTCACTTCGGCAGGTATAAGATACTTTCATCACCTCATGAAAACAGGCCCAATGACTCTCGTGTGGCTGCGGTGGTGTCAGTCCTTTTAAACACTACGTTGTGGCGGCCTACTATGAGAAGACAGTCATGAAAGACTCTGCCTTCTTTCCTCAAACAGTTTTTTTAATATAACTTGTATGCCGAACTTTAAAAAACACTATAATTCGTGTTAAGCGTCACATAAAATTGTGTTATAAGCTGCCTGATTTGGCCGGTAGCCGAGTAAACATTAAACTGATTGGTTTCTCAGGGAGGTCTGGCTGGATTCTAGGAAAACCGATTATATGAGGTTTAATGTACTGAATTACAGGGAAATGGAATTTTCTTGTACGTAATGTAACTATTCGTGTATTGATAAACCTCAAATAGCCAAATAATTAAAGACAGAGGCCAAAAATAAAATCACTTTTTCAGATGATGTTATAATGAATTGTTTGTTTGTGGTGATCTATGGCTGACCTTTACCCTGTTTAAATCTGTGCAGGATTTCATCGATGTCACTTTATCCAAAACCCAAAGGAAGACGCCCACGGTGGTACACAAACATTACCAGATTCACCGTATCCGACACTTTTACATGCGAAAGGTGAAGTTCACCCAGCAGAACTACCATGACCGCCTCACGCAGATCCTCGCCGACTTCCCCAAGCTCGACGTAAGAAAAGAAAATTTGAAACAGACTCATTTCATTTAAATATCTGGTCAAACTCGTATGATGCTTAATGTTACGTGATGTTTTCCATCTCCTCAGGACATCCACCCTTTCTATGCTGATCTAATGAACGTCTTGTATGACAAAGATCATTACAAGTTGGCCTTAGGACAGTTAAACATTGCCAAGAATCTGATTGACAAGTAAGTTTATCTAAAATCTAATGCTGGTTATTGTTGTGCTGTGAACACTGCTTTCAGATCTTTGTTCCTCCTGATGTACAAATCTGAATCAAAAGCCTCTCACTCTATTCACTAATGGATTTCACTGATGGATCTAAAGCTTTGACATCTTCTGTGGTGTTTGCATACAGTGCATATTTTGGAACCTTGGAAAAATATTTGTGCAAGGTGATAAGATATCGTTTGTCCATTTTCTTAAAGCCTTTGTTACTCAGTGTATTTATTGATTTCTTACCTTCAGAATGAGAGTCTGGTTTCAGTGCATCTATGTGAGCTTGGTGGGTATGCTGATGCGCTCAATAGGCCTGTTTTTGTAAATGTCTGGGTTTCATTAGACGATTCAGTTTAGCAGCCACTGCATTGTTTTTCTTGGCCTTCATGCATTTATATTACACCTTCAGAAACTTCAAGCTACAGAACAGCTGTGGCTCCTGCAGGAACAGGCACTGATTTATGGAGTGCTCAATTTGCTTTGCGTTCTATTGGCAGTGCTTGCATTTACAGTAGATTAATTGTGCAGCCCTAGTTACATCAGTGTGTTACTGTAATCACATGTAAGCATTGGCAGTTGCCAGTATTTTTCTTCCTGAAATGATGGTGTGGTCTAGAGCTCTGACTTATGACCATTATTTATTTTTTATTGCACAAAGAACAAGAGGATGATGGCAGAGTGCAAACATAAGAAACTGTCTGCCGCTGCTAACAGGATGTCAGGTCCTTGCAAGCATCTGCAAGACAGCATGCAAACACAACGTGAAGAACCTGAAGCTGAGCGTAATCAGACCTGCAGTGTAGCAGCAGGACTTCACGTCTTTGATGCCTCCATTTCCACCTGTACATATTTCTACTGTCGAATGTGTTGATCGCTGTTAAGTGCTTCTGTTTGGGCTGGTTTTCAACTTTGTTGTCAGCTTGGTGTTAAAATTAAAACTGTAAAATGATCACACACGTCTCCTGTGTGTCCTCGGAAGGTTTATATTGTTAAACAAAACTATGTGAGTGTTTCAAAGTAATGCAAAAAGTAGTGTCATGAATCACTTTCTCCAGAGGATAATCAAGTAATTTAATTGATTACCTAAAAAAAGTGACTTGTACTACATTACTTTTCTGAGTAACGACCCCAACGCTCGTCTAGACTTACTCTCCTATAACAAAGTAGTGAAGAGGCATCTTTTGTTCTTTCAGTGTTGCCAAAGACTACGTGCGCCTGATGAAGTATGGAGACTCTCTGTATCGGTGTAAGCAGCTGAAGCGAGCTGCTCTCGGGCGTATGTGCACCATCCTGAAACGGCAGAAATCCAGCCTGGAGTACCTGGAGCAAGGTGAGCAGAGTTTAGGCTGTGATTGAGAAGCTGAGTCCGTCCAAAATCGTACTTTTCCTTTTAGCTGAAAAGTTTGAGTTAGGGCTGCTCAATTAATCGAATTTTAATCACGATTACGATCTGGGCTTTCAACGATCATTAAAAATGACTGAGCCGATTATTAGCCCCTCCCTCATGCTTTACTCTTGCGCTGCTCCGTGTGGCAAATCGAGCGCACCTCTCTGCATTTCGAACACGTGTCACAACAATTAAGAGCAGCGGTCCCCAACCTTTTTTGCGCCACGGACCGGTTTATGCCCGACAATATTTTCATGGACCGGCCTTTAAGGTGTCGCGGATAAATACAACAAAATAAAACTAGTACCGGTACCGAAAAAAAGAAAATTTATTCATAACACACGTGAAAAGACCCAGGAAAACCGAGTAAACGATAAAAACGATAACAAAATAACGCTGAAAACCGATAAAAATCCTGAAAACTATACATTTCACATCTGAGCCTCAACTCTCGCGGCCCGGTACCAAACGACTCACGGACCGCTACCGGTCCGAGGCCCGGGGGTTGGGGACCGCTGATTAAGAGGACCCGAGGGAAGCTCGGAAAGCTAAGCAGAAGTTATTTGGAGAGGAGAGTGACTGCCGTTGGTTGAAAAGAAAGGTAAAAAAAACTTCAGTGGTGTGTAAACATTATGGGTTCGCGGAGTCAGACGTGGATCAAGTGGACATAGTGTGTAAACTTTGCTACAATGTAGCTGCACCACAGAGCAACACTGCAAAGTTCACTAAACATAGATGTTTACATTTTTCATTTATTTTTTATATTGCAAACATTTGCACTGTTATCAGTATTTGCACTATTTTATATTATTTTTTGACAGTCTTTAAAGTCATTATTCAATACATTGTTATTGTTAAATAAATATCGTCAAATAATCGAGATCTCAATTTCAGTGAAAATAATCGTGATTATCATTTTTGCCATAATTGAGCAGCCCTAGTTTGAGTAGTTCAGTCTGTTTCTTCTGTCTCCATACATAACCGTTACTCGTCTTTCAGTGCGTCAGCATCTGTCCCGTTTGCCAAGCATCGACCCAAACACGAGGACCCTGCTTCTGTGCGGTTACCCCAACGTGGGCAAGTCCAGTTTCATCAACAAGGTAAATCCCAGACACATTTATCACGATCATTGATTTCCACTCTGAGCCAACTTTACGAGCAAGATTTTGATTAAACTCTTAAATTATCGCACTTACTGCGCTTGCACTGCTGATTAGACTCAGACTGTATTTCGTTACCCTGTATATTTACATGTGTAATGACAAGTTGAATCCTAATCCTAAATTATTATAATCTAATGTTTCTTTTTCTGTTTGTACTGAACAGAGATTGCAATCACTAACAGTCGCCTCCATCTGCCTGCTTTCAGTGTAGCTAACAGTGTAACTGGTTTCTTCCTTGTCAGGTGACCAGAGCTGATGTTGACGTCCAGCCGTACGCTTTTACCACCAAGTCTCTGTTTGTGGGTCACATGGACTACAGATACCTCCGCTGGCAGGTGAGATGATCCTGCTCGCCTGAGTTTTACTGTGGTTATCATCTCATTGGTAAAAATGAACTCCAGGACAGTGGACGTAAAGCATGTGAAAATGAGGTTTAAAAGGAAAGCTTTGCACTTGTTTCAGTACACATTGTTTTCTTGGACTCACTTTGAATGGCTTTGCATGGTTGAGTTCATCCACTCACTGAAACAAGCCACTTTACCCTGATTTCCCTTCCTTTAAGCCAGCTGTCATCTGATAGGCTGCCCCTCATAAGCAACGCTGGGGCAGAATAGAGCAGCTTTTGTACTGATAGTCTAACTAAACATGGGATTGGTGATCTTAACTCTTTACCTGCAGAGCTGCTGAAATTCTTCCTGTTTGTGTTTAATTTATATGAAAGCTGTTTTTCTTTTATTAGCCTTACGATCATTATTGCTGAGATTTGCCTGTACTAAATGATACTATGTATGTGCTTAAAGTTGGCTGAGAGTCTGGACAACTTCACGAGACCACACAATCCCAGGAAAAATAAACATGGTAGAAATCAGCATTTAGTTTTATCTGTTTTAGGTTATAGTTTTGGAAATCTTGTGAAAATAAATGTGACTCCTGCAGGAAAGACATTCAGGACTTCAGGAGTTTCTTATTTTTTTGCTTGGATTTTGAGGAAAACAAAAATGGCCACAGCGTTTTGTCTCAGGTTTAAAAGCAGTTTCCCTAGCAGAGTTCACTTAAGCTCAAACTAAACATCTTGAAATGCATCCTGATAAATCTAGCATAGGTGCTTTCCCCTCACTCTAAAGGAGGAGTGGGAGCTGTTTTCTCCTAAAGGTGGATTGTGAGACAGGCTGACCTAAGACCATTTTAGTAAGCTACCACCTCCTGTTGTTAGTCAGATGCTAACTGTGTGTTTGTGTGTAGGTGGTGGACACCCCCGGGATCCTTGACCACCCTCTGGAGGAGAGGAACACCATCGAGATGCAAGCCATCACGGCTCTGGCTCACCTCAGGGCGGCGGTTCTTTACGTCATGGATGTTTCTGAGCAGTGCGGCCACACCCTGCAGGAGCAGCTGGAGCTCTTCAACAGCATCCGACCCCTGTTCGCCAACAAGGTCAGACGGCAGCATATCATAACTGCTCTGCAGATGAGTCAGTCCCTGAAAATTCACCCACTGGACCCCCTCAAAATCAGCTGATTCATTATCTACAAGAACTTCAGTCTAAGCAGTCACGCAAAAAATGTCCGTCATACTATGAATATTTTACGAGTTAGTAAGGAGGGATGGGTCTAATATTTGTGTCTCTTAATTCAGATGATCATTGTTGATGACTTCACAAACACTTTCAGGGCTGAAAAAAAAAAAGAGATTTAAGCTGTTTTAAAAACTGCAACCGGTCTCCTGATTGTGTTTAGTGAAGTGTGTAGAAGCCTGTGCCGTCGTATGCCACAAGAAAACTGCCCCAAGTTGTAAAGGGAGTGAAGTGAGACTTTGCTAAGAGACACTTTGGGTGGATTTACAAAAATGTTTGTTGTTTAAACATGTTTTTGAACCTGTACTGATGCTGGAAAAAAATACCACATATTTTAAAAGCGCCAAATTTGACCTACCCTTATTTACTTTGAGGACATCTAGCTCTGAAACATTTCCTAGTATCAAGTTAAAATTTCTCATGGCTCAAATATGCAAAAGTTACTGTAGAAAAAAGAACATCTGATCTTGAGGGGGTCTGGTGGGTTTTCAGGTTTAATTGACTTTTTTTAGCACTCACACTGTTGGTGATTGTTTTTGTACCCCGCAGCCTCTCATCATTGTGGCAAACAAATGTGACGTGAAGAAGATCAGCGAGCTGTCTGAGGAGAACCAGGTGGGTGGTTTACAGGTTGCACATCTCAAAGACAGGAATGTGTAGGATGTGTTTAAGAATTTGCTTAACGCGTTAAATGTCCTCTTTGTTGTCAGAAAATCTTTGCAGACCTGTCTGCAGAGGGAATCCCCGTCATCGAGACCAGCACCCTGACAGAGGAGGGCGTCATGCAGGTTAAAACCGAGGTGAGAAACAGCCGACTCGGGCTCGCTCTGGTCCCGGAGCGTGTCAAGTATTTGATCTCACCGTGGCTGCCATCTTTCTTTCAGGCGTGCGACCAGCTCCTCGCTCATCGCGTCAACACCAAGATGAAGGGCAAGAAGGTCCACGATGTTCTCAACCGGCTGCACCTGGCCATGCCCGCCAAGAGGGATGAGAAGGTCAGTCAATCAGCTCTTGAATGGCACTCTTAAACAGTTTAAAGCTGATTAACGTGAGACTTTTGCTTTTTTTTTTCTTACATTTGTTAAAGGTTAAACCTGTTCATGTTTTCAGGAGAGGCCTCCGTTCATCCCAGAGGGAGCCATGATGCGCAGGAAAGCGATGGAGGTGGACGCACCCAAACGCAAACTGGTAGGTGTGGTGGGAACTTCAGGCTTATAGCAAAAGAGACGGCAAGCATTTACTTAAGCTCTTTACTTTAATTTCATTGTATATTTAGCTTATTTTACTGAACCCGGAGACAATAATCTTTCTTTGACTCTAAATAGCAAAAAAATGAGTAATAATGAGTTTTTCTTCCTCTGCTGAGTTTAATTCTCTCTGTGCGGCTGTTTGTAAAATGTTTACTGTTCTTCTTACAGGAGAGAGATCTGGAGTTGGAGCTGGGTGATGACTACATTCTGGACCTTCAGAGTAAGAACTGCTTCCCTTTAATAACGGAGCTGCTGCTGTGACATTTCAGACCATCTATTCACTGCCGTTCTTTTTTTTTTTTTTTTTTTTTTTTAGAATACTGGGATCTAATGAACGAGGATGAGAAGCGTGATAAGATTCCTGAAGTGTGGGAGGGCCACAACATCGCAGATTTCATTGATCCCGGCATCATGAAGGTGAGCGTCTGCTTTTGCATGTGCACGAAGGCCTGCAAAGGTTCACATTGCTGAGATTCTGCAGACATCTGTGTGCAAACAAGGACACCAACTGTGAACGCTTCCTCTGAGCAGGCTAGAGCGTCGTATAAAATGAACGGCTGTGGTTACCTGCTGTTTACATCTGTGTTTGTGTTCTTCCACAAAGGAGAAGTTCACATTAAAAACGTAACAGCCTCCAGATTAATCTGGGGAAACCTACTTCCCTTAACTGGTCCTTCCGCCATGCCAAGAAACAAAGGGCACAAACTGTTAAACAATGAAAACCACAAGATCCTTTATGATTAATAGTGACTGGGTTCATTTCTGTGTAGCGAAAGTGCATTTTCCTGTCATCTACTGTTCCTCTGTGCTTTTGTTTTCTGCTACACGAGCAGAGGACACTAATCTCTATAACTAATGCATACCTCTATATTTACTCCTGAGCTATTCGTGCTGTTGTTTACGACCACACTGATATTCCAAAATGTAGAAGATAATGTGAACAACTAAAGAAATATAACCTATTCTGAGCTTTTAATGATAACAACTGAACCACTGAGGCCTTCAGCATGAATGTAATGCATTTATCTCCAGGATGCTCTCAGAAAGGCTTAATGAAGAAAAAGAGGGATAAGGCATTTGTCAAATGTGTTTCTGCCCTTTAAACTCTGTCCTCTAAATGTGTGTTTGTTTTTCTCTCGACCCTCACAGAAACTGGAGGAGCTGGAGAAGGAGGAGGAGCTGAAGGAGCGAGCCGGGGAGTACGATTCTGACGAAGAGAGCGAGGACGAGGAGATGCAAGAGATCCGCATTCTTGCCAAACAGATCCGCGAAAAGAAGCAACTCAAGGTCCTGGAGTCGAAAGAAAAGGATGTGCATGGACCTCGCATGCCCAGGACCGCCACCAAGGTGAGCAGGGCTCAGTTTAAGCTACTCACCGTCACCTTGCTGGAGTTGAGATGTGGGTCAAATTTAAGTACAGCTGCCTTCAAATACTTTATATTGATTGTTCCAAACATAATAAAAATATATGCCGACATAGCAGATTTCCCCCCTATTCTTTAATACCTGTTGGTGTTTAATTTCTTTGATGTCAACAAACATCTGAGAGCTCAAACTGTATCAAGTGCTGACAAATAGGTGAAAGAATTATGAATGCGTTCCTACTCATCACCTCACCTCTGCTGGTCGCTATTCCTGTTTTTCGAACATGGAAAATTTGCTGCACTTCCAGCAGAATAAGAGACTTGACAGCAGGTGAGAATCAGCAGATTAGAATCAAATATAAGACGTCACATCGTTGGCTGAACATATGTAGGGACAGCGTGCACACAGGTTGAGCTGCTGGGTCCTTATAGCTGGTATGTCTTAAAACGGGCACATATGAAGCATATTCCCTCAGTAATCGACACTGCACTCAAAACATCAGTGGAAAAAAGAATCAGTGGAAAAACGTGGCATTCATGGAAACCAGGTTATGTGCTCAACATCAGTTACCATGGTGATTTAGCCAGGTTTAAGAAAGAAAAAGGAAAATGAACCGCTTTCAGGACAAATTTTGAAGGCTCCACCTAGTGGAGCTTTTTACTCAGAGTTACTCCGTCAAGCTTCAAGCTGGTGACTCCTTTAGTTCTTTGACTGTCTTTTGTCTTTTGAGCCCACGTTTCACACGGATGTCTGAGCTCATGTTTGTGTTTGTTCTGATATGTTCAGGTTGAAAGGAAGCGGCTCGAGAAGGAGATGGGTAACCTCGGTCTGGACATGGACGACAAGGACGATGTAAGTTCTGATTTGAAATCGGCGCCTACAGGATGTATGTAACTGAATTAATGATAATGATATTAAGTTATAATTACAATGGTGCCCACGGTAACAAATAAAAAAGAGGCAACCTTTTACTATGTGGTTTAATAGTAAAAAGTTGTCAAACTGGGGCGTGGAATGAGGCTAGGTTTTTATATTATTTTGTTTATTGCTAATAATAAAGGATAAAATCTTGCTGGGTTTGGTGCGTGGACTGTTGGAGTTTTAATATAAGGGTTTTTGAATAGTTACAGTGAAACGTTTGTTTCAGTATGATCTTCTTTGAACTCATTTTATTTTGGTAAATATGTGTCTTTTTATTTATATTTTCTTTAATTAGTTTGGTTGTTTTGAGATTTATTTGTTTTATTTACATTATTGAAGAGTTTGTAAACTCATTCATGTTTCCATGGTTACGTGTTTCTTCGGTGTTGATGGTGTTGATGTGGTCTCATGTTCTTGTTCTTCATACTGGTTCTTGATGAGTGAATCTTTGGAGATGTTTGTGTCTTAAGTGTTTCCTGTCGTGTACTTTCAGAGTCACTACGCGCAGCAGGCCAGACGCTCCCGCAGCGTCGCTAAGAAGCGTAAGCGTGAAGCTTCGGCCCCTCCGACGTCCCGAACCCGCAGCCAGAGCGCCTCCCGTCCACCCCGAGACCAGTCTGGTTTACGAGATGCAAAGGTACGAGGCTGTGGAATTGCTCAGCTTTTAACTAAAATCTGCTCTGTGATCGACTCGCTTATTAGTCCTTTAGGTTTTATGAAAAGGTGGACACATCAGAGATCTGTAAACATTAGTTGTTTCACACAATTAATCACAAAGTGGCCAATACTGAAATAACTGAAGTCTTTGCCAGCTTACCTTTAATCCAGTTACCTTCTGCAAAGAAAGATTTGATCCTAAATGTTACTCGCTGATGTTTAATCTCAGAGGGTCAGTTTAGGCTGAGCTGACTGCAGCGCTGTCAGTAAACCAACAGAAACCCTAAATACCTGATTACCTTTGAATTCCTTTTTTTGTCTGACCAACAAGGATTCACTTAAACTGCATACTGTTGTGTGCAGGAATTACTGCATTTATCAGCAGTTTTATACGTTACTAGTAGTTTCAGCTTATTTAAAAGGTTAAAAATACAATTTCATTGTTCTTATTTCTTATTTTTTAGCTCTTAAAAAGCATCAAGTGTGATTTTAATTTTTTTTGAAGGTTTCTTTTTGCTTTCATTAGTGACTGTTGAATCACAGGAAGGAGTGGATTACATGCAGTAACTAGTCTGGGGTTCAAAATGTAATAGATGACATGAATCCCTCGTTCTGTAAACTGACCGCTGGCTTTGTCCGTTTGTTCATCAGATGGCGAAGAAGACGAAGAAGATGATGAAGAAATCCCAGAAAGACATGAACCGCCAGGGCAAGAAGGGAGAGGCAGACAGACACGTGTTTGACCTCAAACCCAAACACCTCCTGGCTGGGAAGAGGAAGTCGGGCACCACAGATCGCAGATAAAACTGCTTTTCCTGGACTGTTGACACCTGGACACTCTGCTGGCACCATTGCCGGGGAACCATTTACATGATTAGTGATTATATTAATACCAATTTTCAGCTCAAGCATTTGCTCATGGAAGTGAATCTCAGCTGTAACGAAAACATAACTGTATTGAATGGCAGAGACTTTGTAGTGGTTAATGTCTTACTGTGTTACTGCAGTAGTTCATGTGTGAAGCTGATTTGTATTCAGTATCAGTAAAGTGAAACCTTTTGCCTTACAGCTCGCATGTGGCTCTACTTTGGATAAAGTGATGATGATGCTTCCTTTAGAGTCTCTTCTTGAGAAATATTAACACGGGAGCCAAATAAACACATCGGAACTAAAATATCTCAGGTGTCATATTTTTCTCTATGGAGTGATTTTATCTTAAAGAGACAAGGTGGTGACACAACCTTATTGTGTTTTTATATTCCTGATTTGAAAATACTGGTGATAATTGTCTCAGTTGTGCAACAGTTGTGCCAATTTTGCAGCACCAAACGTGCAGTTTTGTTGCACTGAAACGTCACGTCCAAACTTACTTTCACATTTTAATAACACATTTTCTTGCTTGTGTTAAATATGCACCAACATGTTTTTCAAACCCTTTTAGTTGAATGTTTCATTTTTTTCATAACAAACATGGACAGTCCTACCAATCATCTCTTTTTCTTTTCTTTTTTTTAGTTTAATTTCATGGTTAATTTTCAACTCTTTTTGTTGTGATGGTTCACATTTTGGTAGTAACTGTCTCATTTCGGTTGTTTTTCTCTCTTTGATCCTTTTGTATGACCTTTTTGCATCTTTTCCTACAGTTGTTTTTTGATACTGTTTTGTGTTACATTTAGATTTTTTTTATTTTACAGTTTTAGCTCATTTTGCATCTCTTTTTACCCCATTCTCTCTCTGGGGTCGTTTTGTGTCTCCTTGTGATAGCTGTTCATGTCTTTGTGCTATGCTGTGATTATTTGGGGTCGATTACTGTCACGTTTTTGTTTGTTTGTTTGTCATTTTACGGATGTGTGTTTTCTGGGATTTTTAAGACCTGGTTTTAGAGCTTGGACCTTTTCCTAGACCCTGTTCATTATGTCCATTATTAGAAAGCATTTACACCAGCATGATTAAAACCGCTTTTAGTGCTTTTATTATATCTCTGAAATGGCTTCATTCCCTAATTTAATTTTCATGAAGCCAAATTTACAAAAACATGTAATTTATTTGTAAAAGCTCCATAAATTTAGACTAGTTTGTTTTTATGTGGCGACAATCAAGAAAACAAGAAACTAACAAAGTCTGGATGGAGTTTTGCTGTGACCGGCGTAGGCTTTTATTGCGAAAAAACCTCGGACCGGAATTGGCTTCGTTATCGTTTCTCGCGTAACGGTACCCGTCTGCTGTCAACGCGGATTTTGGACAAAACCTGCGCAGCATTCTCAGACCTTGAAGAAAATGTTAGCGACGACATCAGTTCCCATCCACTCCCGAAATAAAAACGAGTATTTGTAGACTTTCTGGTGAGTTGGCCTCCATGTTTGAGCAGGTTATTTTCACCGTTAGCCCGTTAGCATGCCTGGCAGCACCAGCTAATCGGGGAAACGTTAGCTTGGCTAAGCTGGGCATCGCCGCTTTAAATTGTCTAGAACTGCTAATGTTAAGGTCCACTTTTTCCCCCAGGTATTTTCGTTCTTTTTAAAACCTTAAATGCTATTTTTTTTAAAATAAAAAACATTTTATCCAAATGTAATGCAAGATAATGTGACCTTAGCGCTGTTTTCTTTGCGCTTACACCAGTGACAGTCAGCAGGAGGAACTAGGCACCAGACAGCTAAACAAGGCTGGTTTTATTCCTCAGAAACTGGCAGTAACGGATAGACGACTCTCTGATGTCTGTGATAGTTTAAGCCTGACTGGTGATTTAAAAACGCATCTTATTTGCATGTTTTAGTATCCAGACACCTTTGTGTCAACTCAAGGACAAATGTAACACACACCAGGCTCAGATGTGTGTGAAGACTGATTTGAACATCCAAAAATTAATCTTCCTTTCGTGTTTCTCTGTGTAGTTGAACCTAAATTACTGTCCTTTCCTGAACCTAATCCAACTGTTTTGTTGGTTAAATATAACTGAGTAGTTTTGGTTCTTAAATCCAACAAAACTTAAAACCGAAAAAAATAAAATTAAGAGGTCGACGATGACTGTTGGTTGGCACACAGGGGCCAGACCTCTTTTCTCGGTAGAAAGGGTAAAGTCATCCAACGCAACCTGGCGTTCTTATCACCTCAGCCGACTTCTGATAATCTGTTTCTGGCAGTAAGCAGTGAAGTGTAAACATTACTCAAACCTCAGAAATGTTCCTGGAGCAAAACACACACATAGGCTTTTTGTGTAAGTCAGATGGGGTAAGTAACTTGTCATTCGTAATATTTAGATTATTTTAAAATACATACATCTCAAGTGATGGGTCCTGATGAATGTATGATCAGCAGGCTTTCTTTTAACATCTTAGAAATTATTCAGCTGCATAACAAGTAGGAGTGGGCAGGATGTTGATCATCCGCTTCTATCATGGTGTGGGATTTTGTTTTGTAGTTATGATTCATGATAAACAAGTTAAACGCCAACCTGAACACTTCAAAGAGGAAAATATTCTGCTCTCTCTCACTGATTTATGAAATGACAAGAACGAGTCAGTGAGTGCTGCCCACCTGATTTTTTTTCTTCTTCTCTCTCCTGTATCTTTAGAACATTTAATGAAGTCATGAAAAATGTTGCATTCATTTTAGTTACAGCCCTTAAAATGACTGACCTGGCCCACCCTCATAAGGAGACATGAGTGGGTGGATGTCAACTCCATAAAGTTATGTTCCTTGGGTAAAATATGTGTTTTTAAAAAAATGCCCAAGTATAAAATCATCTAAAAACACTGATTTTCTGGCCACTTGTGCCATGATAAACTGGTATTGGCATTAACGGTGATATTAAAAGAAAAATTAATATTGGGTTAAAATTGCTCAAATGACAGGATCATAATTAATCCAGTGTTGGGTTAAGGACTTTGCAGTTCATCAGTGACTCTGTTTTCTTTCGTTAAGTACTTTATTGTAGCCACAGATAATTATGCTTGGAGTAGGTATAAAATTAACTTTACTGAAGTTCTCTTATAATGCAAATTAAAATGTTTGACATTTTGACTCAACTTTATGTACTTCAGAGGTTTGTACCTGAGGCCTGGGCTCACAGATCAACAACTCCTCGTCCTTCTTTTCCTCTTTTGTCCATTCTTCTATTTATTACACTAAATTTGACATGAGACCTTTTCTTTTTCTTTCTTTCTTTTTTTTACTTGCAGATTTCATGTAATTGCATCTCAGAGCCATAAGTAACCCTATTTAAAACATTTAAACTGTTGTCACTCCAGAGAAAACACTTTTGAGTGTTCTGCCGTCTCTGGCGTCCTTCTCTGGTGCTGTTATTTCAGTTTCCTCTGTTGGAAATTCTGATGCTTTTTTAGATTTAATATTGTAGACCTTCTGTTTTCTTTTTTAAAATAAAACTTTAACTGCTTCCTTTCTGGTAAGCTTACAGGTAAACTGGTTTCCTTGGGTAGAGAAAAGTGGGTGTGGCACTATGCAGATTGGTTTGAACAATCCGGGCCAGAGCAGGCCTGCCAAAAGGTCCAATCCAATGTAATTTTCTCTGTATTTTGTCATGAAGATTAATGTTGTAATAAATAACCGAAGGGTTAATGTTACCTGAGACAGGATTTTATTACAGTAATATATCTTTGTAATCTGGAAACAATTATTTTGTTTCTCCAAAAACCTCTCTGCCTGTTGCTTCATCCATTTTACAAATGTATTATTTGTTTCCAGAATGAAGTTAAAAAGACTGAATATTTCAGAGGTTTGTTTTTTTTTCATATATTGCATGTGCAGCCGTTTCTTGCATAAAGTGAGAACATTTCTATTAGTGAATGTAGCAAATCTACATGTCTAATTATTGAATGAGCTTTTGGCTGTTGTGAAACCATAATCTTTTTTTTTTCTTCCAAATATTGCTCGTCTCTCACTGGAACATTTCAGCTTCTTCTAACAAAATATTGAACACAGACAGTTTTCAGTTTCTGGAGCTGAAAGAAAAGGTTGTGATGTGGTTGTTAGCTTCTCAGTTTCTATCCCAGTGGGATTTATTAAGCGTGCTCGCTGAGCAACACTCTGTTTCACACTCATTCACTTTGTCATTTCACACATTCACACGTGGAAGCTGCCAAATAAAACCACTGCCAAGTGCAGTACTTGGCAGTGGTTAGGATTTCGTCTTGATGCTTTGCAGTGAGTGAAGAAGACTGGATCTGTTCTCTTCGCCCTTTGGTCAGCCTCTCTTTTGTGATTTTATACTTTCAGTCTGTGGTTGCATCAAGTTTGAACGGAGGGATGCCAGTGGAGAGCGGGAGTAGCGCTGCTGCCCGCCAGGCCAAGCAGAAGAGGAAGTCCCACAGCCTGTCCATCCGCAGGACCAACAGCACCGAGCAGGATCGCTCCGGCCTGCAGAGAGACATGCTGGAGGGACAGGTGATGATTCCTTAAATTGTACCCTGAGAACGGATGAAAACTGCCTTGTATTTCCAGCTACTCCTCTGGAAACTGCACTCCTCTGCTGTCTTTCAGTATTAGCCTGCTGCTGTCCTGCTGTTTCTGTGAGCACCCGTAAGCACTTTGGTTGTAAGCCTAAGCCAATTAGCTTTTAATACAACCGTTTAGAGGACACATGATGGTTTATATTGTTGCTGGCTTGCCACAATTACTGGATGAGTGCTGTAAGATTGTTTTCATTTAGTGGATAAACAGATGGATTTAGAACAGGCTGAGCCATTTGAACTTCGCTCGGGTGGATCGTTCAGCTCAGTGGTGTTTGTTCCTGTTTCTCAGGTGTTAAAAACCCTGCTCGCTTTCTCTGTGGCCTGCCAATAAGGAGCTGAAATACTCGTAGGATGCAGGGTAAACACAGCTTACCTGGAGGTAATTATCTGAATCGAGAGTAAATCAAGAAAAAAAGGGAGAGGGAAAGGATTAGGAGCCTCTGAATTAAGACTTGGCTTCAGTTAGAGGTGCACATGTAGAGCAGGGAGAGTTAAAGCCTGTTGAACTGAAACACAGTTCACTGGCTTGTCTCACCTGCCTGGTGTACCTGTAATCTAGCCACTTACAAAAATCACTGAAGCACCTTTTTATTGCAGTTTCTTAAAGGATCAGTGCATGTCATTTATTTGCCAGGGAGGCATTTTAGCATTTGGCTTTAACATACTGTCCAGCACCTTCAGATAAAAATAAAAATATCAGGATCGTTT